TCCCAGTCACTCCATCTTTGCCATCAGTTCATATAGTCAATCTCTATAATTTTTTGCAATTTTAATAAGTGTGTAGTGTTGTCTTATTGCAGCTTTAGTTTGCATTTCTCTAATGATTAATGATGAGCATGTTTTCATGTGCTTATTTGCCATTTGTATGTCTTCTTTTTGAAGTACCTTTTTAATTCTTTTGTCTATCTTTAATTGAGTTGCTTATTTTCCTATTAATGAGTTTTGAGAGTTCTGTGTGTTGTTATATAGGGTTTTCTTCCAACCTGTGGATTATCTTTTTATTCTCTACAGGGTATATTTTGAAAAACAAAATTTTAATTTGCATGAAGTCCAATTTATCCATATTTTAAAATCTGGATGTTAAAAATATGGGTCTAGGTATTATAGCTAAGAAATTTGTGCTTACTCCAAGGTAACAGTTTTTTATGCTTTCTTCTACAAGTTTTATAGTTTTAGGTTTTACATAGAGGTTAATGATACATTTTGGGTTAATTTTTGCCTATAGTGTAAGGTTTCAATTCATTTCTTGGCATATGTATAATCCAATTTTTCCAGCTCCATTTGTTTAAAAAAAAAGAAGAAGCTTTTTTTTTTTCTCTATTGCATTGCCATTCTGCCCTTGTCAAAAGTCAGTTGTCCATATATGTGTGGTTTATTTCTGGACTCAATTCTGTTCCAGTGATCTGTTTGTCTGTCTTGATGCCAGTACCATACTGTTTCGATTATTATGGCTTTATAATAATTCATGAAATCAAATAGTCAAATAGTATTAGCCCTCAGACTTTTTCTTTTTCAGGGTTGTTTTGACTATTGTAGTTCCTTTGCATTTCCATATGCATTTTACTTTTTAATTTCTTTGTTAATCCTCACCTGAAGATATTTTTTTCCATTGGTTTTTAGAGGTAGGTAGTAGGAGGGAGGGAGGGAGAGAGAGAAACATTGATGTGAGAGAGACACATTGATCGGTTGCCTCCTGCATGTCCCCCAACTGGAGCTGGGATTGAACTGCAACCCAGATATGTGCCCAAGTATGGGAATCGAACCTGAGACCTTTCTGTGCAAGGGCTGATGTTCTAACCACTGAGCACACTGACCAGGGCTCCATATGCATTTTAGAATCAGCCTGTCAATTTCCACAAAAAAGCCTGCTGGGATTTTCATTGGGATTGCTTTTTTTAAAATAAATGTTTTTATTTTGTGGTTGATTTTAGAGAGAGAAGAAGGGAGGAGAGAGAGAGAAACTTCATTCCCCAGTCGGGATGTGATTTTGCTAGAATACTTATTTTCTATAAAGCTAGGGATAGCTAAAAGCCACTATGAAGCTGAAAGTGGGTCATTGGATCAGTCACTATGTCTACTTGTATGAGATTAGAAGTCCAGACTTTCCTGCAAATGGAAGTCTCCCTGTGAGATTCTAACTTGTTTCCAGCCAGGCAGCACTGCCTAATCTACGATGCATTATTATTGCTTATAGGTGTGATTCATAATTTCCTCCATCTTTTAATTTTAGAAATTTTCAAACCTACAGAAGTACTAAAAAAATAGTTCAGTAAAGATTGTTTGTATTTAGATTCACCAGCTCTTAGTGTTTTGCCACATTTGCTTTTTCTCTGTCTGTACACACACACACACACACACACACACACACACTTTGTTGTGACTGCTGTTGTTGAACCATCTGAAAATAAGAAATTAAGTTTTAGAAATCATTGTCCTTCATCCCTATGAAATACCATAGAGTATGTCTCTTGAAAAGAAGGATTTTGTACGGAATTACAATCCCATTATCATCTTCAAGAAATTTATCTGCCCGGCTGGTGTGGCTCAGTGGTTGAGCGTCAACCTATATGAACTAGGAAATCATGGTTCAATTCCCAGTCAGGGCACATGCACGGGTTGCAGGCTTGATCCCCTGTGTTGGGTGTGCGAGAAGCAGCCGATCAATAATTCTCATCATTGATGCTTCTAGTTCTCTCTCCTTTTCCTCTAAAATCAATAAAAATATATTTTAAAAAATATATCAGTGATCTTATTTAATATTAGAGGCCTGGTGCACAAAAATTTGTGCACTGGGGGGGGGGGGTCCCTCAGCCCAGCCTGTGCCCTCTCGCAGTCTGGGACCCCTTGGGGGATGTCCACCTGCTGGCTTAGGCCCGCTCCCTGGGTCTAAGCTGGCAGTCAGATATCCATCTGGCAGCCCAGGAGCCCTCAGGGGATGTCCACTTGCCAGAGGGGAACAGGCCTAAGCTGCAGTCGGACATCCTTAGCACTGCTGAGGAGGCAGGAGAGGCTCCTGCCACCACCACTGTGCTGGCAGTCATCAGCCTGGCTTGTGGCTGAGCAGAGATCCCCCTGTGGTAGAGCACTGACCACCAGGGGGCAGCTCCTGCATTGAGCATCTGCCCCCTCGTGGTCAGTGTGTGTCATAGTGACCAGTCATTCCCAGTCATTCTGCTGTTAGGGTCAATTTGCATATTACCCGTTTAATATATAGGATAGAGGCCTGGTGCATGGGTGGTGGCCAGCTGGTTTGCCCTGAAGGATTTCTGAATCAGGGTGGGGGTCCCGCTGGGGTGCCTGGCCAGCCTGGGTGAGGGGCTGATGGCTGTTTGCAGGCTGGTCAAGCCCCCCAGTGGGGACCCTCACCCCATGGGGGTGTGGCCAGCCTGGGTGAGGGGCTGATGGCTGTTTGCAGGCCGGCTAAGCCCCCCAGTGGGGACCCTCACCCCATGGGGGTGTGGCCAGCCTGGGTGAGGGGCTGAGGGCCGTTTTCAGGCTGCCCACAGCCCCTTCAGGGTGGGGGAGTCCTGCAGGGGAATATTCTTCAGCCTTAAAAAGGAATAAAGTACTGGGACATGCTACAACATGGATGAACCTCAAAAACTTGATGTCTAGCCTTGGCTGGAGTGGTGCAGTTGTTTGGAGTGTCAACCTGTGCAACGAAAGGTGGAGGATTCAATTCCCAGTCAGGATACATACTCAGGTTGTGGGTTCGATCCCCACCTGGGGTGTGTGCAGAAGGCCCATCAATCTCTCTCTCTTTCTCTCTCTCTCTTTCCCTCCCTCCCTCTCTCTCTTCCTCTAAGCAAGCATGTCAAACTCGTGGCCGCATGCCTCCTGCCGGCTGTGAGTTTCACATGCTTGCTCTAAAGTAAAAAAACTTGATGTCTTCAAAAGGTTACGTATTGGATCATACAGTTTATATAAAATGTCTGGAAGCAGTAAATCCATAGGTACAGAATGCAGGTTGTTAGTCGTCGGGGTCTGGGGAGAGGAAAATAAGGAGTGACTGCTTAATGGATACAGGGTTTGATTTTGGAATGATGTTATATGAATTTTACCTCAGTAAAAAGTAGGGGGAGGCAGGTTCCTCAACAGTGGGGAGAAAGTCAAGTCTATGGGAGTGTAAGAGATAGAGGCTGACCTGTGTTTTTCATCCAGGATGTACCTAAGTCAAGGCAGCTGAAATGCAGGCCTTCAATGTAGCTTGGTTGTGAATCTAGATAATTCTAGCAGGTACCAACATCAGCTTTGAGAGCTGTGTAATATATTGGAATACACTTCGTATCTTCCTTGTCTCTTTGACCTCCAATTTAGAAGAATCATATTACCTTGGATTGCTTGATGAGATAAAAATAGAAAATAGAGGTGATCCCTTCACCTAGTTTTTGTAGGGTTTTCTGCTTTCGATCCAATTCAGGGTCAAGGGATTTAAAAGTCTTTTTTGATACGATATGAAATACAAAAAAAATGTATGCAATGTGTGGAGTGGGAGTTTAAATGAGAACAACTCCTTTAGATAGTAAGGTATTAAAGTGTCAGGCGACAAAGATGTTCTGCTTAGTGCTCCAGTATTTGACTTACTATCCTATGGAAGTAAATCAAAAAGTGGGAGAGAAACATCATGGATTGGCTGCCTCCTGCACCACCCCTATTGGGGATTGAGCATACGACCCAGGCATGTGCCCTGAATGGAAGTGAAGGGACAAATTTCTTTTTAACACACCTGATAGAGAGTGGAAAGGAGTTTGGGGCACTGAAGTCAGCACTGGATTAGCAACTGCAGCACATAATAGCAGAGAAGGAGGCATTGGCACTCCTTAAAGTAATAGTAACAGCTGGCATTTATTGAGCACTCACTATGCACCAAACCTTATGTCTTTATGCTCCCTCCCCTCTCGTTGATATATTTCTCTTTCTATAAACATTTTCCAGTGTAACATGTAGCATAGACATAAGAAGGAAATCTCTAGCTTAGCTTAATACATTACTTTAAGGCGTACATTCTTGTAACTACTACCCAAGCCCAGATTGGTCAGTTTTTGAATCATTAGGTGCATGAACAATTTGGATTTTGCTCTGTCATTGTGAAATGTTTCAAGTAGAGATAGAGGAGCTAAGATAGAAAGAGTCCCTCCTATGCTATTTCTATCTCTGGCAATAGAGTTCCTGAAAATGAAGTTTGTCACTAGAATGTGCCCCTGTGTGGGCACATGAGTAATGGCTGCTCGGTCAAGGTGAACACCTGTTGTATTCCTCTGCATCCCTCCTGTCAGTGACGATCCTTCCTCCTTTTCTTCTCTCCCCCGAATCCCTATCTCATGTCAGTGCAAACTTTGAATTTAGGCAGATCAACCACTTATATTCTATGTGGCTTGCGCAATTCACTGAACCTCTCTAAGCTCCAGCGTATCTTCTATGAAAAGAACATTAAGAATACTATGGCTGCTTCATTGATACCATGGATATATGAGGATTAAATGGAAATATTTTGGCCAAATACACAATATAATACTTGGTGTATAGTAAACATCCAATAAATGTCAAATAATACTATGTCATTGCCATCTTGTTTTATTACCCACTTGAACTGAGGTTCAGTTTAATACCCTTTGTATGTATTACATCTCCCACCATGGGCCAGTGATTGGCCAAGAGTGAGCAGATGCTAACGGATCCTGATTCCTGAGGGCTTCCTTTTCTTACAGCGGAGGTGTGCATTGGAATCCTCTTGCTACTGATCTTATACAACTACTGGTTCCTGTACATCCCTTACTTGACATGGCTCTACTTTGACTGGCGTACTCCAGAGCAAGGAGGCAGGAGATCCAACTGGGTCAGAAGCTGGGCCGTTTGGAAGTACTTTAAGGACTACTTTCCAATTCATGTGAGTAGACTTGTTCCATATAGTACTAGAGGCCCAGTGCGCACAAAATCGTGTGGGAGTAGCTCGCTTCCGCTTGCCTCAGCTGGCTGCCCTGCCCATCGCTGCTCGTAGCTCGCTGCCCCACCCCGCCGCTGTGAGAGCCGCTGCTCGTTTGGTCATGATGGCGTTATGATGTGACGGCCATGGGCCTTTTATATAAGAGATGATTTTGAGCTTGAAGAAGAATGAACATTTTTTATTACTTATATTTCTTTTTTTAAAATATATTTTTATTGATTTCAGAGAGGAAGAGAGAGGGAGAGAGAAACATCAGTGGTGAGAGAGAACCATTGATTGGCTGCCTCCTGCATGCCCCCCTCTGGGGATCGAGCCCACAACCCGGGCATGTGCCTTTGATCAGAATTGAACCCGGGGCCCTTCAGTCTGCAGGCTGATGCTCTACCCACTAAGCCAAACCAGGTAGGGCTATTACATGTATTTTAAGCTTTTTCTCTTTTAGAGGGAGAAAGCCTACAAATCAGCCCAAATTACTAAACAGACTGTAAGCTAAGTTAAAACTTAGGCTGTTGTGAGGGGCTCTGGGCTCAGGAAATAATTAAAAATATGGGGAGCAGTTTTAACCCAGGGAATGAAAACAAGTCATTCTCCATTTCCTTTTTAAATTTTTAATTTTTTTTCATTTCTTTTTTTTTTTTAAATCCTCAACCAAGGATATTTTATTCCATTAATTTTTTTTAGGGAGAGTGGAGGAGAGGTTGGAGGGGGAGAAAGAGAAAGAAATATCGATGTGAGATAGACACATCGATTGGTTGCATGGGCCCAGACTGGAGTCGGGGATCAAACCACAACCCAGGTACCTGCCCTTGATTGCGAATCAAACCCGGACCTTCAGTCCACAGGTCGGTGCTCTAACCACAAGCAACCAGCCAGGGCTCATATCCTCTTGCCATAATTGTTAGTCATTTAGTTTTTTCCTGGAAACTAATCAGGGAACTTTTTTTTAAAATCTCAATGTAAATGTGTTGTAGCTCATCAAAACTAGTGATTTGGACCCAAGTCACAACTACATATTTGGGTTCCACCCCCATGGAGTGCTCGTGGCTGGAGCCTTTGGAAATTTTTGTACCAATTATTCGGACTTCAAGAAGCTGTTCCCCGACTTTACTGCGTATCTCCATGTGCTTCCGATTTGGTTCCGGTGCCCTCTCTTCCGAGAATACCTGATGAGCAGTGGTAAGTAAAGGCAGATTGCCGTTTCTGCAATGTTCTAGGGAGACAGGACCACACAGAATGGGCCCCACCCCCACCCCCAACCCAGTTTTAGAGTCTTTATCCCAATCTGGCACTTTTTGGATATTTCTTGCCTCCCCCACTGCACTGTAAATGCCAGCACAACACAGACTATCTTTTTGTCTGTCCACCCACAGATCTAGCATACTGCCTGGAATATAGGGATGTTCAATAGATGTGAATTTAATGAAAGAGTAAGTTGATGAGTCAATGTATGTACCCAGATGTGGTAGAGAGAATCAAATAAGTGATAAATGGCAGGGTTGGAAAGGTGCCTGATATACTTTTATGAATATTAGAGATGAAAAATGTCCTCTGATGTGTCTTGAAGTAATAGCAGTATTAAACTAAACATAATCTGCTATCTTTTCCTTCCCAGGTTAAATATAATGGGTCAGAAATAAGAGTTCATTCTACTTTGCTTCTCTGAACTAGTGGAAGATTCTTTGATTAGTGAAGCTATAATTCTACCAATTCTGAGAATAAATTAAGCTGAAATGCTATCAAGATATGATATAATTGTGTACAATAGCTCTCACTTGTGTCAGTAGCTCTCACTTCAACTTCAGAGGCTCATTTTGTTTGGTTTTCCAATTTGACCAAATTATTAACTAACCATAAGCTATAGTAACTGAGAACGTGCTTTCTGTTTATGATCATTGTATAGGTTAATTATTATTGTCTTTGCATTTCTTGGATATAAAGGGAAGTGGATAGTCTCTTTTTTGAAAAATTCCAATTTCAGGGTCAATAAGTGGCATATTCAGAGACAGAATTTTCCATGGTCTTCCAGGTTTTCATTACTTCCTATTAATCTATTAAGTCTCCGTTGTCGTAATACTGGGTCGGAGTCACTAAGCACTGAAGAACCAGGATCAATGACTGGATTTTTAGGTTCTGTTTATGAACCTTCTCCCATATGGCCCTGGGCTTTCTGTCCAGTCTAGGCTGCCACTGCCTGTGGCCTCTAGGGGGTGCACTAAAACTCCCAAACTACTGTAGAGGAAAAATATCCCTTCTTTTCAGAGTTGGGCAGACATTGGGTTAGAGGTTTTTTTCTTCTTTTTTATTGAATTTATTAGGGTGACATTAGTTAATAAAATTATATGTTTCAAGTGTACAATTCTATAATACATCTTCTGTATATTGTATTAAGTGTTTACCACCCAAGTCAAGTCTCCTTCCATCACCATTTATCCCCCCTTTACTTTCTCCTACCTCCCCCCATCCCCTTTCCCTCTGGTAATCACCATACTATTGTCTGTGTCTATGAGGGGTCCCCCCCTCCTCCCTGTAATCCCTTCACCTTTTTCACCCGATCCACATCCCCTTCTCATCCCTGTCTCCTCCCCTTTGACAGTTGTCAGTCTGTTCTCTATCTATGGGTCTGTTTCTATTTTGTTTGTTAATTTCCATTTGGGATAGCATGGGTGGACCTGGAGAGCATTATGCTAAGTGAAATAAGCCAGTCAGAGAAAGAGAAGTACCATATGATTTTACTCACATGTGGAATCTAATGAACAAAACAAACTAACAAATTAGAGTTTCATAAAAAAAATTAAAGGGAAACTTTAAAAATTTCAAAAAAGCTCAGAAAGATATTTACAGTATATAGTTGCTGATTCAAAGGATAGCCATATGTGAGTTTGAATAGAGTAATTGAGAGCTGGTGTGGCAAATTCATGGCACAACAAATGCAGGTGCACCCTGTTTGTTGCATGTCAGATACAAATAATCAACCATAGAGTCTTTCTCCATATGGTGCCCCCACAGCACTGCCATTTACTGGAGAGACCTTTTCCTTTGCTATACCCTACAATATTCCAAAAACGAAATAAAGGGTACATTTGCACAATGGAATACTACTCGGCTGTAAAAAAAGAAGGAAGTCTTACTTTTTGGGACAGCATGGATGGACGTGGAGAGCATTATGCTAAGTGAAATAAGCCAGTCATAGAAAGACAAGTACCATATGATTTCACTTATGTTTGGAATCTAATGACAAAAATAAGCTAGCAAACAAAACAGCAACAGACTCAGATACAGAGAACAGACTAACAGCCGTCAGGTGCTGGGTGAAAAGGTTGAAGGGATTAAGAAGAAAAGAAAAAAAAGACAACAGTATGATGATAACCAGAGGGAAGGAGACTTGACTTTGGTTGGTGAACACACAATACAATATACAGCTGATGTATTACAGAATTGTGCATTTAAAACATATAATTTTATTAACCAATAAATTTAATAAATTTTTTTTAAAAAAAACTAAAATAAAAACACCCAAACTTGTAGCCAATGGAGGTGCAAAGTTAGAGAGTCAATCCCTCCCAGAACCTGCTTCCCAGGACAGGCCTGGGTCCGAGGCTGCCCATATACTCTGTGCCTGCCTCAGTAGCTGCTGCTCTGGGTGCGAAAGACAGACACATGCGCCAGACCTCAGGTAGTGAAGGACCAATAGGGTTTTAGAGATCCTTTGCTGTCAGATGTTTGTTTTGCTCTTACTCATGGGATTTCTGTGGCTTAAGTCCTTGTCAGTCCTGCCTCCAAACGCTTCCTCTTGGCTCATTTTGGTGAATAGGCACCCAGCAGGTGTCAGCCAGAGCACACTCTGGCTCAAGGCTCCTATTAAGGCTGGGCAGGTAGTGGAGGGCAGATCACAACAGGCTTATATACCACTAGAGGCCCGGTGCACAAAAATTTGTGCACTCGGGGGAGAGGGGGGTCCCTCAGCCTGGCCTGTGCCCTCTTGCAGTCTGGGACCCCTCAGGAGATGACCACCTGCTGGCTTAGGCCTGCTCCCCAGGGGATTGGGCCTAAGATGGCAATCAGACATCCCTCTGGCAGCCCGGCAGCCCTCGGGGGATGTCCACTTGCCAGCGGGGAGCAGGCCTAAACTGCAGTCGGACATCCTTAGCGCTGCTGAGGAGGCAGGAGAGGCTCCCACCACCACCGCTGTACTGGCAGCCATTGGCCTGGCTTGTGGCTGAGCAGAGCTCCTCCCATGTGAGAGCGCCCTGAGCACCAGAGGGCAGCTCCTGCATTGAGCGTCTGCCCCCTGGTGGTCAGTGTGTGTCATAGTGACCAGTCATTCCCAGTCCTTCTGCTGTTAGGGTCAGTTTGCATATTACCCTTTTATTATATAGGATAGACGCCTGGTGCACGGGTGGGGGTCGGCTGGTTTGCCCTGAAGGGTGTCCCGGATCAGGGTGGGGGTCCTGCTGGGGTGCCTGGCCAGCCTGGATGAGGGGCTGATGGCTGTTTGCAGCTGGTCACACCCCCTTCAGGGTGGGGGTCCCCACTGGGGTGCCTGGCCAGTCTGGGTGAGGGGCTGAGGGCCATTTTCAGGCTGGCGGGTGACTGAAGCTCCCAACCTCTCCTTTTTTTCTTTTTTCTTTTTATTCTGGGATTTATTTACCTTCTATGGCTGTTACTGGAGCTGAGAGCTGGCTTTAGCTCTGAGGCTTGGCTCCAGCTCTGAGACCTCGGCTGCTGAAAGCAGGTATCTGGGTTTGTTTGGCTTCTATAATTGAAACACTGTTGCAGCTCCAGCTCTGAGGCCCGGCTGGCTGAAAGCAGGTTTCTGGGGTTTGTTTAGCTTCTATAATTGCAACATTGTTTCTTAGAGTGCAGCTCAGAGGCCGGCAGCGGCAGGTGGGGAACCTTGGCTTCCTTCATCACTGGAGCAAGCAAGCCTCCTGTTCGCTTCAGCTGCCTGGCTGCTGGCTGCCATCTTGGTTGGCAGTTAATTTGCATATCACCCTGATTAGCCAATGGGAAGCGTGTCGGAGGTACGGTTAATTACCATGTTTGTCTATTATTAGATAGGATGAGCAGGACTTTAGATTTTGTCTTGTAGGTAAGCCACGGGAACTTGTGAGGGATTTTGAGCAAAAGAGGGACCTGACTGGATTGTGCATGTTAGAAAGATCATTCAGACAGTAGATACATTAGCAAGGAGCCTGGAGACTGTGATGTTAGAAGGGGCCTGTTGCAGTGATCAGGGAGAGGTGATGAGGGCTCAGCTAACACATGTGTGATCGCGGCAGTGGAAATACAGAAGAGGGATTAATATGAAAAATAGTCGATAGATTCAGCAATACTTAATGAAGGCAGCATATGGTAATATTGTCACCATATAATCAGCATCTAGCAGGGTGTCTTGCTTGTAGCAGGTGCTCGGTAAATGCTTTTGAATGAATGAATATGGCCAACATGGTGGCCAAGAAGAGGGGACTACATATGGGACTTCGTTTCTGACTTGAGTGCTAGATAGATGATGGTTCCATTCACCTTGATAGGTAACGTTGGACAAGGAACAATTCTGATGAATAATTGAATTCCCTGGGTTTGGAAACATGGAATCTGAGGTGTCTCTGAGCTGCTGAGGTAGACAGAGTGTTCCAAATCCAAGCCATTAGATGCGCACTGATGCCATAGAATATTGTGATTAAAATGTTTTCAATTTTTAAAAAGGATAATTAGTTACACCTTTTGTTTTATTCACCAAGGGCCAGTCTCAGTTTCCAAGAAAAGTGTGTCCCATGTGCTGAGCAAGGAAGGAGGTGGAAACATTTCAGTCATTGTCCTTGGGGGTGCAGAGGAATCCTTAGATGCCCATCCCGGGAAATTCACTCTGTTCATCTGCCGGCGGAAAGGATTTGTGAAACTTGCTTTGACCCACGGGTAAGTGGCTTTTCAATTCGGGTGACTGGGTCAGGGAAGGTAAGACATTAAATGAGCACGAGAAAGTAAGGTAATTTTTGTAGGCCTTAGACAGTCCTCCTCCTAATTGACCTTCCCACAATGGTAGCTCAAAGCCATGGCACCCACCAACTAAAATGTCTTTAAAAGTAAAGTCAACAAAAAACATACAAGATGTCCAGCCAAATGAACAAAGGAACCATGGCCAAAACAATAGATGAAAATCTTCCTGGAACCTTGATTTTCTATAGAATAATTTCCACAGTCACTAGACTGCTGAAGTGCCTCCCAAAGAATTTCAACTATAAGTAAGTTTCAATGTATGGAACATGAAGTTAGTAGTATAGGTTGACTTGGGGACATTAAATAATTGTTAGAAATCTGTTGCAAAGTCAGTTGGACATTATCACAGCTTTACATCCTTTTCATTGAAACTTCTTATTCTTTCCTTTTTTGTTTGTTTTTTATTTGCAGCGCCTATTTGGTCCCTGTGTTTTCTTTTGGTGAAAATGAACTATTTAAACAAGTTAGCAACCCTGAAGGCTCATTGCTTCGAACTGTGCAGGATAAACTACAGAAGATCATGGGGTTTGCCTTGCCACTGTTCCATGCCAGAGGAGTTTTTCAGTACAGTTTTGGCCTAGTGCCCTATCGGAAACCTATTCACACTGTAGGTATGTACATTGAAGACTAATGCTTGTTAAAACAAGTAAAAACATTATCTTACTTTGAGCATTGTTTATTATTATGGATTGAGCCGCTAATCCAAGGGAAGTAGCTTTGAGTAAGAACTCCTTAAAATAACAATTCTATAGATGTTATTTGAGCTTCACATCCAGTATGCCTGTTATTTATAAAATGACTATATTTTGGATTTGAGTGGGAATTGATGACTTCCAAGATCACTGCTCTTGAACTACAGGTAGAATCCAATTTTAGAAATAAAATTTCTAGTCCTCTAGGATGAATCTATTTCTCTATAGCAGCAGAGTATAACAGCAATTCTTTGATGAAGTTATATTGAATCTATTAATATATACAAGTTTCCGTATAAAAGATGTTTTCATCATGTTAGTATACATAGGCATCAGTTTCTATAGCAAATGCATTCTTTTTATGCAACTTAGCTATATTTATGTGTATCCTAATATAGACTGATTTTATTTTTTAAAGTTGCATGTTTAGCCCGACCAGCATGGCTCAGTGGTTGAGTGTCGACCTATGAACCAGGAGGTCACGGTTCAATTCCTGGTCAGGGAACATGCCCAGTTGCAGGCTAGATCCCCAGTGTGGGGTGTGAAGGGGGCAGCCGATCAATAATTCTCTCTCATCATTGATGTTTCTATCGCTTGTTTTCTTTCTCCTCCTTCCTCTCTGAAGTTAAAAAAAATATTTTTTTTTCAAAGTTGCATGTTTAGGGAAATGGAGGTGGGGGAGGAGGATGACAGACCATGTTTTTTTTAAAAAAATATTTTTTAATTAATTTCAGAGAGGAAGGAAGAGGGAGAGAAAGATAGAAACATCAGTGATGAGAGAGAATCATTGATTGGCTGCCTCCTGCACGCTCCCCACTGGGGATTGAGCCTGCAACCTGGGCTTGTGCCCTTGGCCAGAATCAAACCTGGGACCTTTTAGTCCACACGCAGGTCGACGCTCTATCCCCTGAGCCAAGCCGGCTAGGGCAACAGACCATGTTGATAAAGGAGGAGGAAAGTAATTAGCTCTTTAGGTTGAAAAGGAACTGGAGATTGGAAATGAGAAAGCTGAGTCAGGTGCTAATATCAGAATTAACCAAAATTATATACTTCATAGGAAACTGAAATAAGAGTCTCACCATGGATAGCCCATTAGCTAAAATACAGATGTTTTCTTTTTAGGTCTGTTTCATTAGAATAGGATTTTATTACTGTTAGCTTACAAGAGCTTAGCATTTCACATGCAGTCACACGACATTTTTAAATGCTATATTTAACTCAAATGGAATGTTAGAAGATGTTGATCCGTTAGTGTAATAGAAATACTGAGATAAGTTTAAGTCTGCAATTGTGTTTTTCAGGATAACTGGTTACATTTTTTGGCATATTGTTAATTAGTCATTTTTATATTTTATGTGCAAAATACTGTAGTTGCTATTTTTTTGGGGGGGATATAAGGAAAATGGCAAGACATGCTTTTAGGAACTGGAAGTTTAAGTGTGTAACACATGCACCATGAAAGAAGTTGTGAATGTTCAAAACAAGTATATTTTTTCAGGTTAAATGATCATAGTTATCACCTGGTTGGCTTCAACATTTAAAAAATTTTATTCTTCTTTTTACATTTTTTTATTGAATTTATTGGGGTGACATTGATTAATAAAATTATATAGGTTTCAGGTGTACAATTCTATAATATATGTCATCTGTAGATCGTATTGTGTGTTCACCATCCCAAATCAAGTCTCCTTCTATCACCATGTATTACCCCCTGTAAACATTTTTTTAAAAAGTAAAGTAGTTTGTCATTCGATATAGACTGGTTACACCTCTACTGACAAGTAATTAATTGATCAGCGGTCAAATGGAAATGACCAAATTCAAATTCGTTGTCAAGACTAGAAAACTGCAGGTCTGGTTTTCACTCATGCCTGTGTCCAATGGGCTTCTCTTAAAGATTCAGGAAAAGGAAAGATTCCTTCAGCACATGTTTCTGTTTACCCCTGAACATTTATGTCAGAAAGACCATTTCTCGTCACTAGCATCTCAGTTTCCACTATTACTTGAAATCTCTCGAAGCCCACACTATGAATCTGAATGTTTCGGGGACTCGGCTGCCATGATCCAGTGGTGGTCCGGTGGGAGTCAGATGATTGAGAACAGCCTGATGGTGTGAGCTAGATCCCCGGATGAGGTGTAGTTAAAGACTTGTGTAGTGACTTGAAATAACACAGGGGTTAGGGGCAATCAGGCAGGCAGGCAAAGGCTGAGGATAAGACAGGTTGAGGAGAAGATATTTACAACTAGAGGCCTGGTGCATGAAATTCGTGTTGTGTCCCTGAGCCCGGCCTACATCCTCTCACAATCCAGGACCCCTCAGGGGATGTCCGACTGCCGGTTTAGGCCCACAGGATCGGGCCTAAACCGGCAGTTGGACATTCCTCTCGCAATCCAGGACCACTGGCTCCTAACCGCTGCCCTTCCTGCCTGCCTGATTGCCCCTAACCACTCTGCCTGCCTGCCAGATCACCACTAACTGCTCACCTGCCT